AAATTTGAAAGATTGGAAAAACAGATTGATAAGTTGAATGAGGACAATAAAATTCTTAAAACTGAAGTAAGCGAATTGAAAAAAGCTGTCGAATTTATTAGCGAAAAATACGACAAAATAATAATTGAACAAGAAGGATTGAAGGCTGATTGCGCAAAACTAGATAGAAACCTAGAAAAGAGTTTAACCATTAATTTGAGAGACAAATTGGCTGAGATTGAAGACCGAAGTAGGAGAAACAATTTAAGGATATCCGGTATAGAAGAATCAGTTGATGAAAGTTTTGTGAAAGTAAAGTTCGTGAATTAATAAAAAAAAAACTTGATCTTCAAGGTGAATTCATTATTGAACGAGCTCATAGAGTTGGAAAAAATGATAAAGATAATACAATTAAAAAATGCAGAACTATCGTGGTCAAATTTTTAAATTTTAAAGACAAATCAACAGTGCTTGGTAAATATATAAAGACGAAACTTTGGAATCAAAGAATATATGTGAACGAAGATTTCAGCAAAAGGACAACCGCATTGCGAAAGAAATTGTTTACGGCTGCAAAAGATTTACGAATAAAAGGTAAATATGCAAAGGTTGTATATAATAAGTTAATAACGCGCGATTAAAGGAAATTCTTTTATTTTATGGTTTTCTAAAATGGTAAAATGGATTCCAATAATTTAAACGACTTTGAATTAAGTTATAATTTTTTCCGAACTGATGAGTTTTTATTTAATAACCAATCAGATCCGGACTTAAATTACTTTTGTGAAGCACATGCTTTACAAAGCAACTGCTCCTATTACTATGCCGACGAAATAAAAGAGCTTCTTAACTGTAGATATTTTAACACTTTTCATATTAATATAAGAAGCATATCAAAGAGTTTTGAAAATTTCTATTTAAGCATGAAAGAATCTCTTAATATTTTTAGTTTAATTTGCATGTCTGAAACCTGGTGTAACTCTAATAACTCTAATTTGAATTCAAGTATTTTTTTACCAGGTTTCAATATAATTTCTTTGGATAGAAAAAATGGAAAGCGAGGCGGAGGTTTAATAGTTTATATTAGAGAATATTTGCAGTATATTATCAGGCCTGACATGAGCAATTCTGATGACAATAATGAGGTCTTAACAGTTGAAATCCAAACAAAAAAAAAAACAAAAAATTTAATTATAAGTTTTTGTTATCGCCCACCTTCGGGCAGTATAGAAAATTTTAATTTATTTTTAAATGACATTTAAAAAAAAAGCATTTGTGAAAATAAATTATACTACTTAATAGGTGACATTAATTTAGATTGTTACCAATACCACCAGGGCCGGCGCGAGTAGGTGTCACGTGGGGGGGGGGGGTGCCATTACAACATTTGCCGACTTAAAAAAAAAAAAAAAAAGGTCCTCGTTTTCCAAAATTTGCCGACTGTCTAACCTATATCGAAAGGGTCGACATTTGCCGACTAACTAGTCTAAAAAGGTCCGATTTGCCGACTAAGGGTCCAGTTTGCCGACTCAAAATCATTGATGGGGGGGGGGGTGTCACACCCCCCCCACACCTCCTATCGCGCCGGCCTTGAATACCACACTAATTATGGCGTTAAAAAATTTTACAACGAGTTATTTGAACTCGGTGCTTTTCCCATAATTAACAAACCAACAAGAATAACTCCTACATCAAAAACCTTAATTGACAATAATATAACAACTGATGTTTTCAATAAATCTCTAAAAAAAGGCATCATTAAAAGTGACGTCTCGGACCACTTTCCTGTTTTTTTCTCTATTAATATCGACGCAGATATAATATCTCAACAAAAACAAACTTTTAAAAAACGTTTTTTTTCTAATGATAATTTAAAAACATTTAAAGAACAATTATCTTATCTTCATTGGAAACAAATAGATACCTGTGCTGACGCTAATTTAGTTTATAATACGTTTTTTAAAACGTTTTATGAAATATACGATGCTAATTTTCCAAAACAAATAGTAAATAAAAAAGCTAAAAGTTTAATGTCATCTTGGATCACAAAAGAACTAAAAAAATCCTTTAAAATTAAACAAAAATTATACGTAAAATATTTAAAGACAAAAACTGAACAAAATAAAGTTCTCTATAAAAAATACGCTAAAGAATTTGAAAGACAGAAAAAAAAAAGAAAAAAAAAATTACTATTCTAATTTGCTTGATAGAAATAATCTTAATTCGAAACGTACGTGGGAAATTCTAAGAGAACTCACTGGCATGCAGAAATTAAAAATGAGCTCATTGCCTAAAACTATTAAGATTAATGAAGAAACATCATTTGATCAAATTGCAATAGCTAACAAATTAAATGAATATTTTGTATCAGTTGGTCCTAATCTGGCCCAACAAATTCCTATCTTGAAAAACAAATTGAATAATTATGCTTTTCAAATAACTTCGTTCTTAAACTCCTTTGAGTTATCCTTTGAGGAATTTGAACTTTCTTTTAAAAAGCTTAAATCTAATAAATCAGTTGGTTATGATGATATTTATTGCAATGTTATTATCGACTCGTATGGAGTCATTAAAGATATTCTATTTCAAATTTTCAAATGTTCAATAAAACAGGGTATTTTCCCCGACAATTTAAAAATAGCCAGAGTTTCACCAATATTTAAAGGGGGGAATTCAACCAATGTTTCAAATTATCGCCCTATTTCGATTTTGCCTGTTTTTTCTAAAATTTTAGAACGAATTTTATATAATATAATTTTCAATCATTTATCTTCAAATAATATGCTGTATCAATATCAATACGGATTTAAAAAAAGTAATTGAACCGAACACGCTATACTCCAAACTACCCGCAATATTGCTGAATCTTTTGAAAAATCTCAATATACGTTAGGCGTTTTCATAGATTTATCGAAAGCCTTTGATACCATCGACCACAAAATCCTATTTAAAAAAATAGAGTATTATGGAATTAAAGGGAATATTTTAATGATTCTTAAAAGTTATTTAAGCAACCGTAAACAGTTTGTTTACAGTAATACAACTGTCTCTTCCAATTTATTTGATATAACATGTGGGGTCCCTCAAGGTTCTATACTAGGACCTCTTCTCTTTTTAATTTACATTAATGATCTCCCTAAAGCCTCAAATTTAATGACGGTCATGTTTGCCGACGATACAAATCTTTTTTTAGCTCATAACAACATAACAACATTATTCCAAAATATGAATATTGAATTAACAAAAGTTTCTGACTGGTTTAAAGTGAATAAGCTGTCACTAAATGTTGAAAAAACTAAATGGATACTTTTTCATCAAACTTCAAAAAAAAAGCTACTACCTCCTGTGATGCCCTTACTTTTTATTGACAAAGTTCAAATACAAAGAGAACAAACTATTAACTTTTTAGGAATAAATATTGATGAAAACCTTAGTTGGAAGTATCACATTGATTTATTGTCCAACAAAGTTGCTCGAAATATAGGAGTAATGTACAAGGCTAGAAATGCTTTAAATAAACACAGTTTAACACAATTATATTTCTCTTTAATCCATTGCCATATAAATTATGCAAATATTGCTTGGGGTAATACCAATAAATCTAAACTGCTACCTCTTTATCGTCAGCAGAAGCATGTTGCTCGGCTTATCAATTATAAAGATCGATTTGCTCATGCCAAACCATTATTATTTCAAATGAAAATTCTTAATATTTATCAGCAAAATATTTTTAATATACTTTGTTTTATGTTCAAGTGTAAAACCAACGAATCTCCAGTTTCTTTTCATAATCTATATACCTTAAAAGATAAAAATAAATATAACTTAAGAAATGATAATCAAATTCAGCAACCTTTATCTTTAACTAATTTTGGAAAGTCATGTATTTCATATCGAGGAGCTTTTCTATGAAACAAAATAGTTTTAAAAAATTTTGATTTTTCCCATGAATGGAATTATCTTTCATTCAAGAAAAAACTAAAAGAAATTGTTTTGTCTTTTGAAGACATTTTTTTATATTTTTAAATTCTTTTAAAAATGAATATGAAGTTTATTACATAAGGTAATATATAAATATTATATCTGATCCATAACTTATGTGTTTGTGAAAACAGTACTTTTTAAAATATTTTTGTATTTATATATAAGAGTATCAACAATTTCTTTATTCCAATTTTATTTATATATTATTACGAAATTTACGTTCTCGCTAATTTTTAATACGACATTGTTTAGATTTTATACTTCATGTTAATTTAATGTACTTAATATTCACGAGCGGTTCTCGATGATAAGACCTGAAGGTCTTCTGCGAGTCTCCGCGTTCTTTCTTTTTTGTATATATTTTCTTTTATTGTATAACGATTTTTATCTCAACTATCTTATTGTATAACTATATTGAATATTCAAGAAAAGAACAAAAAAAAAAAAAAAAAAAAAAAAAAAAAAAAAAAAAAATCAAGTCCCTCTTAAGGCATTAGTAATTTGATTTTTTTATTTACTAGTTTGGTTAATTACCTTGGTTTGTTTGTTAAACTGCTGTAGTTAGAAATTCGGGGTTTATTACATAAAAATTGTTTTTGGAATATATTTTGGAAACATTTTGTGACATAAAGAGTTAGTAAAGATATACAACATTATTTATTAAAATGATTACCGCATTCAGATATAGCAATAATACAAAATTATGTGTCTGTGAGTACAGGTATTAATATGTACCATGAAAATAAAACCATGTAAATAATAATACGAAATGCAGTAAAAAAACATATTAAAACTTTTTCAAATTATAAATAAATACTATATTTAATAGCTACATTTACTATATAAAGTTGTATATACAGTATATAATTGCTACAAGAAAATATTAATTGGCGTGAATATATATAGACATTTTTATAAAGTCGTACACTTTAGTTACAATTATTTTTTATTCGTAATATATTATTATAATATATGTTTTAATTAGAAAAAATTTTACATTTACAATATACTTTTTAAATAAAACAGGTCTTCTTTCATATATACTTTTATAATATACTTTTATAATATACTCAATAAACTTAAATACAGTTTATAAAAAAATTGAATTTAAGGTTACAGTTTATACCTTAAATTGGAAGCTGGTTTCAAAATCATACTTATATACGATAAAATAATAGTCCAAAAAGCCAAATAATACGCATTCTTATCACATTGATCTCTATGTGTATAGGCTTTAAACACCCACACATTGCCTGCAATAAACCAGCAACTCAAAAATAACGATATCAGTATTGCTAAACCATAGCATAACATTGGCATTAAAAAAACAAGAAAAAAGACAAGTACCAACACAATGGCTGTTACTCCAAAGACAATCAAATAAATTGGAATCATCGGTTCTATTTGACATTTATCTTTATTCAACGCTCCTATAAAGTAAAATTAAGTAAATTTAATATCTGGGTGGTACAAATAATCTTTTTCAATTTATTTTAAAGTTTATCCATGTAAACCTAGTGTTGTTTTGGTTTAATCATGCTTATATATATATATATATATAAATATATATATATATATATATATATATATATATATATATATATATATATATATATATATATATATATATATATATATATATATATATATATATTTATATATATATATATATATTAGGGTGGAGCCCTAAGGAAAAAAAAAAGTTTAAAAATCTATATTCCTGAGACACGAATCGATGTCTATTAATTTTAAGATGATAGTAAAAAAATATTATTTGATTTTGATGAGACCTTGAGGTTCCTCTTTGGATTCTAAATTCTTGACGGGTCCTAATATTTTTGAATTTTATTTTTTCCAAACCACATCAACCTTGGACTCAAAAAAAGCAGAAAAAAAATGCTTGTTTTATAATAAAAATTTTAGTGAAAAAAACATTTGCAAAAATATATCTTAAACCTCCCGTTTTGTCGAAGACGGGGGTGTTTTATGAAAAAAACAACTCTATTTTTTTATCTTTATGTTTTCAATTTCATTTTTTTTTCAAGTTTATATTATAAAATTAATTAAATATTGTCAAATATAGAAGAAAATCTTTTTTAAATTAAACGCAGGTGACTTTAAATTAAAAGAAATAATATTTCACTCGATTTTCTGTAATTAATTTTATTTATAAATATTTCAAATTATTTTCATGATTTTTAAACGAATTTCAATATCACAAAACTTAACATTTTAATTTATTTTTGTATTACATTTTCTCATTTAAAATTTCTTCACAATCAAACTCGCTAAAAACTGCAACTTCCTTTAAAATGTAGCCATTTTTGTCGTTAGTAGGGGAAAGGCGCCTATGATGGCATACTTAACTTTGAAGCTTCATTATTCAGTTTTATGAAGACCAATAGTAAAAGTTTTGATATAGATACATTCCTTGTTACATGTAGAACAATAATAACGCTCAGAGTTTTTATCAGTTATGTTTTTTTTTATAAGTTATTCCTATTTTTTTAAAAAGCACAAGTATGCCATCATAGGCAACCACTGCTCCTATGATGGCATAGATAAGGATAGGGCTGCTTAGGATCAAGGGTCTCTTGATGATTTCATTTAACCTTAGAGTCTTCCCTCAGAAAAACCAGAAATTACTCGAAACCATCCTAATTTATTATTTCATGCTACACAGCAGCATAGTGAAGTTTCGCGCATGCGCATTGGGTATATTGTGTTATAGGTATTTTTTGGACCAAAAAAAAAACTTTTGGAGCATCGCTTTCTTTTTACTTTACTTAAAAATAAGTTTTTCTTATATAAAAAAAAAAAGGTTTCCCAACTCGTCCATATTGCAACACGCCCAACTCGTCAGTATGCCATCATGGGAAGAAGTTACCATTTTCATTAAAACAAGTCGTGTTTGCCTTATTTAAAAGATAAAATTAAAGTAAGTATTCCTCCAAATACACAAAACTTAGATATAAAATGCATGAAAATTCCCTTTCTGCACAGTTAATAATAGAATAACAATTTTTAATATATGAAGGGAAAAAAACTACTACAGCACATCCCAAAATTGATTTTTGTTGATTATAAAAACAAAATTTGTGTACAAGGGACATATTTTAACTAAAACTAATGTCAAGCCAAAATAGCCATGTAGGTCTAATCACTTTTTCATCAAAACCAATTTTTGTGGAAATATATGACCGGTATGCCATCATAGGCGCTATGCCATCATAGGCGCCTTTCCCCTATCCATAAAACACTGTTGGTATATAAGAAAACTAATTATTTTAAGCGTTCGTTTGTTTTTAAACAAAGAAACGCTTAAACGATTTTTTTTGTCTGTTTGTTTAAAAACAACGCTTAAGCGTTGTTTTTAAACAAACGAACGTTTAAGAGATTTTTAAATCGTCAATGAATAAAATAAATCGAAAAATCGACCAAGTTCTCTCTGATTAAGCAGACGAAAAAATCATTTCAATAATAGATTTTGCAACTTCAAAGACTGGACAGTTTTCATATAATAGAGTAGAGTGGGGAGAAGTGGGACAGCCTGAAATTTCTATTTAGGAGCGGTGCCTAAATAATGTTGTTTAATGTAAAAAAGCCTATGTTTTGAAATGTACCTTAAAAAAGTGTTTACATTGGGGTGAAGTGGACAGAAAAAAGAAATATTTATGCCCGCTTTATTCCGTCGCCATTTGATTATTTTGATTGGTGAAAGCTCTTGAACAGTTTTATGTCAATTAGGTGATTTTATGATATTATCCGTTTCTATTTAATAATTTGTGTTAAAATGTTGTTTTGAATTTATTTTTCCCACTTCTACTCACACTTGTTCCACTTTACCCAATGGCACGGTTTCTCTAAAAGCAAAAATTTATATACTTAGTTATAATTAGATAGAAACCTAAGGGGATTGAATCGGTGCCTAAAAAGAAGGTTTATTTGTAAAAACTTGTTTGGTTCAGTTTATTCCTCAAATAAAAAAGATATTTCAATTACACTAAAAAACCCTAAATTTGCGTGTCCCACTTCTCCCTGACTTATTCCACTTTATTTAGGGCTCATCAAAAAATTTTTTTTTGATGAGCCTTAAATAAAGTGGAATAAGTCATAATATACTCACCCTAACAATAGTGTTTTAATGGATACAAACGACAAAAATGACTACATTTTAGAGGAAGTAGCAGTTCTTAAACTCTAAATTTTTCAGTTTTTTAAATTAAAGCACTTTTTTAATTAACAACTTAAAGTTATGAATTATAAAAGTGCGGTAACTAAAGAGATGTAATAGTAGAATTAAATGTTGTTAACTTTTTATTCCACTATTAAAATTGATGAATTTTTCGTTTTAAAAGTACATTAATTAAAAATTTCATGAAAACTAGAATTCAAATTTGTTGTTTGGTCTGTCTAGTTAAAACAATTGAACGGTTTTTAATGATTTGAAATTGAAAAAAGTTATGCGCATAAGTATGCGCATAATTATGCGCACAATTTATCGGCGAATATCTGTGAATACAAATTTTTCCGAACCCTAATAATCTTCCACTTCCAGTTAACCAATTACCATAATGTCTTATTTTGGTTACGTATTCTGGTACCAATACGCTTCTAGAAAACTCCCAATATTATAAGTAACATTCTTTAAAATAGAGAAGTTATCAAATTGTTTTTTTTTTTACTATAATCTTCAGCTTCTTTTAAAAAAACTATGCTAGCGCTAACAGAAACTGGATTTTGAGTTTATAGGTTAACGTTTAACGATTTTCCTTCGTTTTTAGGTTTGCTGTTTTTTCCTCTGGTTGCCATAAAATTTTTTTTTTTTAAACTTTTTTTTGCTTTTTTTGCTTTATATATTGTACTCTACTAAAACAAAACTAACAGCTTGTATAATAAGTACAAAGTTTTGCCAATTCCGCAAGAATTTATTACATAATATTATCTGAGCAACCTTACAACTCGAGCAACTTACACACTTTTATAATTTTAACGTTAGACAAACTAAAACTGGCATACTAAACTAATGAGTAATTAACAAAATCTGACGAAAAACCTAAATCATGGCAAAGAGAGAGAGCAATTATAAACTTAAATGTTGTTGGGGACCGTTGTCAAGGTAAAATTTTTTGATGAGCCCTAAATAAAGTGGAATAAGTCATAATATACAAAAGTTATGTCAAAATTGGTTTAGAAAAATTTCAATGATGAATTGATATAAAATAAATGAAATTCAAAAATGACACAGAATCTTCAAAAGACAGACCAATGTCAGTTTTACCTTACCTTTCTAAGGTACTCTAACGTATAATGTATAATAGATATAACAACTACTAAACAGTAAATAAAATTGTATAACAAACATTTTGGCTTTAAAAAAAAATCAATTTATGTAACCAATGCATTTATTGATGACTGTTTGAGGTTAAGAGTCTTCATTGATCTGTCTAAATCCTTTAACACAGTCAATCATGTCATTCTTTTGAAAAAAAATTGATCGATATGCTATAAAAAATAATAATTTACTTTGGTTTAAAAAATAATCATCAAACAGACATCATCATACTCAATGTAAAAAATTTTAAAGCACAAAAAAAAAAAATAACAACATATGGAATTTCTCAAGTTTTTATCTCAGGAACGTTACAGCTTTCTCTATAGATAAATAATCTATCTTTTACTTCAAACTTATTAAATTTAATTTTGCTTGCGTATGACTCTAATTTCTTTTATTCTCATAAGGATATTAAAACTCTCTTTAAAGTATTTAATGAGGAAGTAAACAAATAAAAGAATGGTTTATTTGTAATAGATTCTCACTTAACACATTAACAAAACTAAATTTATTCTATTTTATAAACCAACTAAAACAGAAAACTGTCTCTTAAAACTTCCTGATCTTAAATAAAATATTACTAATAAACATTTGTAAACATTTTAGGTATTATTTTAAAAGAAAATTTTATATGATAGGGATATTTAAAAGCGTTCCTAATGGGGCTCAGTAATAAGACTAATTTATGCTCCTGCAATTTATATACTTTTTTACATTTTGTTTATTGAAAACCTTTTTGAACGGCAAAATAAACTAAACTTAATCAAAATATTGTATGTATGTATATTTGTTAAGTTTTTATGAAATATTTTCTTGTATAATGTAATACGTAATGTCTAATTGTTATAGATTATTGGGCGCATAATGTATGTAGAGAGGCAAAGTAATAACCATTATTTATAACCAGTAGCGTAACGAGATGGTGATCAAAAGAACTTTCGCTCAGAGTACGAAGAATAAAAAAGGGCAAAGGTCTTTAGCCCCGAGCGCTAAAGACCTTTGCTACGTCTCTGTATATAATCTAATAGTTGCTTAGAACTGTTTTTGTAACAGTTTAGGATTAAGGCAACTGGTTGTCTTCTTGCATCTTACCAATATATAATAAAACATCATACTTAGTAAGTTTGTTATCTTATATGTTACATTATATTTCAATATTATTATTATATAAAATAATAAACATTTTGTATAAAATGTTATTCAAAATATGAAAAAAATAAAACAGTACCTATAGTAATCATTGACACAAATAAACTAATGTATAATGCAAGTAATACAACAACTATTCCAATACCTAAAGAAAAAAAGAATACTTTATTAAAACGAAATTTTTTATTTATCACGAATTTATGCTAAACCAAATCTGTAGCTTTTTTTAACAAACGGCGCCCCGTATGCTGAAAAACGCCGCAACGCTTAAGAAACAATAAAATGTTTGCACTTAATTATTACTTGCTACATTAAAATGCTTGTACTTAGTCATTGCTTGTTATACTGCTTATTGCAGTAATTATGTTAATGTTTATGAAAACTTTAACTTATTTAGCGCGTAGACAAACTTAATCAAAGAGCTGAAATCATTTAAATGTTTTAGGGGAAAGTCGGGTAGCCCAGACGGCGGGTTACTCCGCACACTTGATGTACAGCTTAAACTAAAAAAGTAATTTTAAATACTTTAAACTATTTGATCAGAAAAATGGCTAAAAAAAATGAAAAATATCTATCATAATATATGCAAAATATCTATAATAATATATGCAAAATATCTATCATAATATATCAATGCTATTGGCTGAGAGTACAAGATATTGTTTCCCAACACAAGAGGAGCAATGTATACAGGAAGAGCGATGTATCATCATATTCAATTCACATAATAATAAATCTAATTTTTATCTAAACTAAAAACTTTTTTTTTTATTAAAGATTTTTATTTACAATATTTATTTTAAAAAATTCGTTTAATACTTTAATTCATTGGTATTAAAACAAGCATTTGTGAATGAGGTATGATCAAGTGTTATCGGACACATGTTTACAGGTTCCGAACAACTTAATCCATTTACACATTAAAAATGATCAACTTTTTTATATAAATAATAATACATTTAATATAATACACAAACCTATAATAGTAATTTATTTAATTCCAATAAAAAGACCAATTGTCTATATTTCTAAATGATGACATTTCAATTTCATTACATATATATCAGAGGCGATTTTTAAGGCTATTTTAAAAAAAAAAAGGATTAATTGTTTGCAACTAATTAACTAATTAACAAATATTTTCAACTAGTTCGCATTAAAACAAGTTTTCAATTAAATTAATACTGAAGCTTTCCTATGTAAACTTTCACTTAACTTTTTATTTTTCGTAAACAGTATAAAAACACTAGTTCTATAGAATAAAGTTAGGATAAAGTTTTAATTTAAAAAATTTTACTTACCACATGCACTCATATTTTCCATAAAACTTGATAACAAAGCGTTACCCTGACAACAACCGGAAAGCAAATCTATAATGCAATTTTTAAAAGTAAGAACCTCGTTAAAATTTAACATTTTTATCAGAAATTATTATTATAAAACACCAGTTTGCAATGCTAAAATGTTTTCTCTTTAATTTTAAGCAATAGGGTAAAGTGTTGCTAATATTTAACAGTGTTAATATTTAACCGTAGATTAAAGTGTAATTTAAGCTAATTTGATATCAAGAACCATTAACATTGACATATTAGGCGTCGTCCATAAACTACGTCATGCTTAGGGGAGGGGGGAGCGATTTCGTGACGATTTGTAATGAGAGGGAGGAGGAGGGTCTCGATTTTGTGACGCAACATTTTTTTTTTTTTTTTAGAGAAGACGTTCTTTTAATTAAAAGATTATCTGACCAAACCAAAACCCTCAGTTGATGTATCAACATGTTGATTGTAAAATTAACGAGGCCTAAATCTTACTTAGTCGATGTGTACACTCCGTTACATCCTGTTAACGGTTACAGCCTGTTAACAGACTGTTACGGCTGTTTATGCAGTGCAGGTTCTGCGCTTTGAATTTATATGGTTCAAGTACAGACTTTTTTTAGTTGGTGCACCAAAGTGTACATCAACAAAAACAATCTTAATGCAATAACTAAAAAAAAAAACATTTCCGAAACTGAGGAACGAACCTGAAACCTCGGCTTACTTACTGGAGGCAGAATCCACTCAACCACGCTTACGTGGCTAAATGGATAAAAATTGTATTTATGAATTAATATTTTTTGCATGTATTATATGTTATTATTTATTATATATATATATATATATATATATATATATATATATATATATATATATATATATATATATATATATATATATATATATATATATATATATATATATATATAAATATATATATATATATATATATTAAACTTTATTGCAAAACAATATTGGAAATAACAAAAAAACATAGGATATTATAAATAAAATGATAGGAAAAAAAGATTGACTCTGGTAATACACTGCCTAAACGTTTAAATACTAACGATAAAAACATATTTATCAGTGCTAAAAAAGAAATTGCTGAAAGCTTTAACAATTATTTTATAAACATTGGAAAGACGTTAGCAAATAAAATAACTCCAAGTAAAAAACTATTTAAATCATACTTAAAAAAAGTAGACTTTACAATGGATGAGTATGACTTATCTCCAGATGAGCTTTGAAATGCTTTTGAAACCATACAGTTCAGAAAAAGTCCTAGTTTTGATGACATAGACTCTAAAGTTGTTAAAAATATTTATGACATTATTGAGTATCCCCTAATGTATATCTTTAATCTCTCATTAAAAAATGAAGTTTTTCCTGACCGCCTAAAATTAGCACGCGTAGTTCCAGTATTTAAAAGCGGAGATGACTCGACTTTATCTAACTATAGACCCATCTCCATACTCCCGTGCTTTTCAAAAATATTGGAGGGCATAATGTATAATAGACTCTTTTTATACTTTCAAACTCATAACATCCTCTACAATAACCAATACGGATTTAAAAAAGGCCACTCAACCGAACATGCTGTAATAAAATTTGTTAACGAAATTTTAAGTGGCTTTGACAAAAACAAACACACCCTTGGAGTATTTATCGACCTTTCAAATGCTTTCGATACAGTAGATCACGAAATCCTTCTATACAAACTTCATAATTATGGTATACAAAATTATAGTTGCTATCTAAAAAACCGTAAACAAGTCTTATTTTTCAATAAAACATACACTCCCCTTGAAATCGTCATATGTGGTGTTCCCCAGGGGTCTATTCTAGGATCTCGGCTTTTCCTAATCTATATAAATGACATATTTTTATCTACCAGTATATTGAACTTCATTCTTTTTGCAGATGACACTCATGCTTTCTATACCCACTCTAACATAAATACACTTTTTAATACAGTAAATCAGGAACTTGAAGAGTTGAGCGATTGGTTTAAAGCAAACAAACTTTCTGTCAACATTGAGAAAAGTAATTATATCTTTTTCACAAAACCTTACAATTCAGACAAACTACCATTAAAACTTCCAGATATTCTATTAGACAAAGTTAGACTAAATCGAGCGCTCTCAGTTAAATTTCTCGGGGTATTATTAGATGAACATATTAGCTGGAAAGACCACATTAATATATTAAAAAAATATATATCTAAAAACATTGGAATTATGCATAAAACCAGATATATTTTGAATAATGCATGCCTTAAAAGTTTTTATTTTGCATACATAGCTATATTAACTACTGTAATATTGCCTGGGCTAGTACCTACCAATCAAAACTAGATTTAATATATAAAAAACAAAAACAAGCGTGTCGTATATTAACAAACTCAAATAAAAATGCCAATTCTAAACATTTAATGAGGGAACTGAGAGTTCTTAATATCTATGAACAAAATATATATTGCATACTTCAGTTCATGTTTAAACTCAAAAATGATCTGGTTCCTGAATTCTTTCATAACTATTTTCACCTTATTAATCACAAATATCAAACAAAATACTCTATCAAGAACTACTATATTCCAAAAACCTCTTTAAGACAATCTTAATTCTCAATATCCAGCACAGGACCCCGATTGTGGAAGTCATTTCTAACAAACAAAATAAAAATGATAAACTCATTCCAACATTTTAAATACAGCTACTAGACCTCAACATTAATGAAATCTCTTATTTTAAAAATTTTTTCTTTTTCAATTTCAATTTTTTTTTCTTCACTTTTTCTTGAAATTCTATTATATTACTTGCTTGGTTAAAAAAAATAAAAATAAATAAATCGCATGTATTATAAATATTTTATTATATATGTATTTGGTTTATATTTTGTTATATTTTGTCAACGACAAAAATGGGGCAAGATGGTAAGACTATTGTCTTCTACTTGCTCCAGTCATATATTTCACGGTAAAATGTTGTACAAATTTATATTAATAATGACGAATAAAAAAAAAAAACTTTATTTAGGTGCCCTAAGAAGTCCTCACGGTCTTATCACAGAGTACCGCGGATGAGCATTTAAGCGGAAGTTCACGCCTCCTTTTTAACCGATGTCGCAAAACTTGCCCAGAGGTGGGGTTTGAACCACGGATCTTTTGTTTCTGACGATATTATGATATTATGCGTAATATAAAGGTGGGTCAATAAAGTGTCACGGATGCGTTAGGAGGAGGAGGGGTGAGGGGGTCAAAAGATGTCAAAAAACTGCGTGACATAATTTATGGACGATCTCTTAATGGTTCTTCAGTAGAAGATCTTTTTAAAGCTAGCCCATTTGCTTGATTTCTTATTTATATATTTTTTTATATATTTATATATTTGCTTGGTTTCTTATATATATATATATATATATATATATATATATATATATATATATATATATATATATATATATATATATATATATATATATATATATATATATATATATATATAATGTGAAAATAATTATGCAAACTTCACAATCGTTATATAATATCACTTACTATTTTTTGGATTTCCTAGAATTCCTTTTTTTTGGTTTTCATCTTTTAATTTTTGAGACTCCTAAATAAGTTTAAAAAAAGTTAAAATGCCATTCTGGGTAAACCAGATATAATATACCGGATAAACCTTTTTTAGTTCGGAAAGTTTTAAAGAATCTTCAAGTTTTATGAAAAAAAAATTCATGTATTAGAAAACTAAAAATTTGTAGTAAGTAAAAACATATAGCATGTAAATTTTTTGAGTAATTTAATTTTTTTTTGTAAATAATTTACAAACCTTTTATTAAAAATTTTTAAAAATTTTATAGGGGAAATGGTGGCATAACCGCATAAAGAGGCGAAACCGTATTTTAACATTTCCTTTTGAAAAATGTTATCTAATATGGCAAAAAACATACCACGCATTGGTAAAACAGTTTCCTTCATTTCGCTTATGTCAAAAAGAGTGCCTGTTACGTTTCTGAGAAGTTGTGCATAATAATGTTTATTTTGATAAAAATATTATATTTACATCATATTTTTCCAGACCTTTCTTTTGAGGATTAAGCAATATTTTATTTTAGTGTTAAAGATATGTGTTATTAGCGTTGTTTCATCAAGTGGAAACCATTGTTGACATCAACCTAACCTTATAAGTAAGCTATAAAACTGTATTCTTTCTAAAAACTATCCTCCGGCACAGAACCGCATACTTTAAATTAAAGTATGCGGTTCTGTGCCGCATACTTTAATTTCTGTTTAAATTAAAGTTAGTTAATTACGAATAACAATAATTAAAATTGTCACACCTATATGCGTTCATGTAAAAACTTGAATAGAAATAGTTTTGTTTTGAGATGTTGAAAATTAGATTTCGTATTTTTTTGTTTATTTTTTATAAATAAGTTTTTGAATAAAATATAAAGCTAAGAGTATATCGAATGAGAAAACTCAGATTGTAAATAAAAGAATGCCTACACAGTATGCAAACGTGCAACAAAATCAGCAAATAATTTGAACTAGGGATGGATACTTACTTTTTTTTTACTTACACGAGTAAGTTAATTTTTATCAAAAAGTAAATTACATAAGTAATTTTAAACGTTTTATGTAAATTTACATTTCCGTTTAAGTAACTAATTTTTTTAAACGACTTTTAATTTATAATGTAAGATTTTTTACTTTCAAAAATGTAAAAGAAGATTACAATTTACTTGTACATGTAAAAGTAAGTCAGGTGAAAAAACTGTTTACTTTTACATTTAAAAGTTTATTGTTTTTGAAAAGTTCCTCAAACTGTAATTTACATTTACCTATAAAAGTAATTAATGAAAAAAAATTGTACTAAAAAGTAAATTGCATATGAAAGTAAATTACGTAAAAGTAATATGCTACCAAATGTAAACTAAATTTACAACTAAAATAATATTTTTTAAGTAGGAATTTTTTTATATTAAAAGTAATAACAAGTCTTTATTAAAAATAAATTATATAAAATTTAAATTACATTTTATATAATTTTTAAAGTAAATTAAAAATAATTTATATAAAGTTTATATAAACTTAATTAGAGATATTATTTTAAATCCTCTAAATAATTGGGGAGGTTGCTCAAAATATATATGGTCATAGTTTTTGAACACTAAGAGAATATTGCATGACATTAGAGACTTGTTAATTAACTTAAATTTAGTAGTTTAAAATGTTTAAAAAATGTATATATATATAAATGTTATAAACTCATCGCTCTCACACTAATGGCATGCAAGGTAAGTCAACATTTTAGGGATTTATTGTTAACAGACTGCGATTATCGCAATACTTTCGAAAAGCTTTACATAAACATGGATATATAATTGTTTAGAATTTGCTCCATGTTGTTACATAAATTTTAATTCTTAAACAAAAACAAAAAGCTTGCTACGGGCTTGATTTTAAATATGTGATTAAAATCTGGTAGTTAAAATATTGTGATTTACACTTTTGTTCACTTTTTTATTTTAAATTTTTGAAAATTTAAAGTAAAAAACAAAACAAAAATTTACTGAAAAAAAAGAACTTGATGTTATTTCATTTGTATGATAAAATAACATCAAGACACTTTTCTTCATGATCGATCATATAATTTTAAATTTGAAAGTGTGCATTTTTAACCACCCTTCTAAAATTGCTATAATAAATAAATTAAAATAATTGTTGTGGTTATGAAAAGTTATAAAATTTTTTTAAGTTAATTACTTTTAATTTTTCAACTTTATTTTTTTAATTAATCTTGATGTTATTTACATCAGATGGTTAGAAGTTTTTTTTAAAAAGACTGTATGGTTTATTGTTCTTTGGAAATAGCTCTGCATTTTGCAACTTTGTTTTAAGTTTTGTATTTTGGCTTCTTTTATTCAACGTGGTTGTTGTTAAAAACCAATCTAACCTAAATAAAAGTTATTTCTGGAAATTACTAACTAGAATAATTTTTTAGATAATAGAATAATAAAGGAATAATTGTTGTCTGGAATAATGTAATTCATTCCAGACAACAGTTATATGAATAGCTATTAATAAATAAATTAAAAAAAAAAAATTAATTTTTATTTCTGTTAGAGTGGTTGTTACAACCAGGGCTGACCAGGGCCGCCCCGAACGGAGGTTGAAGGGGTATCCCCCCAGCTTTTATAAATGCATTTGAGTTAGCACATTTGTACATTTAACATTTCAGTTATCAATTTTTGAAGTATAGTTAGAAAATGTCAAATATCAAGGACCTTTTTTTTGTGTGTGTGTCTCTAGTTGACAAAAAACACATACGACCCTCATCGGGGCGGCCCTGACAACAACCACGCTGAATAAGAGAAGCATCATAGCTACAAATATGCCCGGCTCATTTACGGTAAATTTCATCATGGCCTCTAACCTGTTTCCTCCTGACAAAAAAATTAATACTAAAGCAAATAAATCATAAAAATGCCTTTTCAAAGCTTTTTTGGAAAAAATTTTTCTTTTTAAAAAGTAATAAACCCCAACTTTAAAGAAAAACAAAACATTTAAGGAAAAAGTAAGGGTACAACCCCCCTTGCCCAGGAAATAAATTTAACATGCATGTTCATCGGGGATACACAAATGCTGCCAAAATAAAGTAAAATCAAAGTACAGTCTGAATGATAAAGTAAAATCAAAAAAAAAAAAAAAAAAAAAAAAAAAAAGATTTAAAAAAGTGGAGTTTTACAGTTGGCTCTCAAAACAATTTTAAGATGTACTTTTATTAAATTTACACAAACGCTGAAAGTTTCAGAGCTCTAGCTACTCTGAAGTAGTAAAAAATCATTCGCAAGATTCCGGGATAACTAATAGCCGACAAACATCTTGTGAAGCCAAACTAACGTTTGAAAAAAAGTTACAAGTTTATTCTAAAGCACTATTTTAATTGAAAAAGATTTTATTTTTCTAATCATCCTTGTGCAGATTGGACATTAACGTAACAAAAAGGAGGTATTAGGGTGCCCACAACCTATAGTAGAAGATTAAACAGCTTTCTCTACCATATTTTTTTAAATAGATTATATATGATAAAACGCAATAAAAGATTATGTCTAGTAAACACTCCTTTAATCATATAAATTATATTAGATAGCACAATGTAACAAAAAAAAAAAAAATTTCTGTTTATCAAAATTTTTTGATGTTTCTTAATTAATTTGAGTATGCTGAGTCTGAATATGACATTGGATTTTTTATTGCATCAATCGTTTGGTCGTAAAACCAAAAAATCAATTAAACATATAATTAATATAAATCGTTTTGCATTAGATTCTACTTTAGTCAATATAAAACATTTACTAATTCAAAAGTGTTATGTTATGTTAAAAAACTTCATGTTACATCATGTTTCTTACATATATTACATAATGTTACATTATATTGTATTGTAACAGTCTCTCACAATCTCAAAAAACACTAAAAGTGAACAGTAGAACAAGGTTTTCTTTTATGAAGTTTCTCGTCATCGCGTATCAAACACCAGATGTAGTCACCCATCATAGCTGCATCCCATCTGCCCTGGTATCTTTTCTCCATTGCAAGAATATCCTGATGGAAACGTTCCCCGTGCTCTTCACTCACATCACCCAAATTTGGTCTGAAAAATTCCAAGTGTGAATGCAGGTAATGCAGCTTTATTGACATTCTGCATTTCATATCTGCGTACCGTACAATTAAGTTTTCCACTATCTCTTTGTAGTTATCACTCTTATTGTTGCCTAAAAAGCTATGAACAACATGTCTAAATGCAGTCCATGCTTCTTTTTCAACAGCAGACATTTTGTCCTCAAGCTCCTTACATGCCAACATAACTTTAATCTGTGGACCAACGAATATACCTGCTGAAATTTTTGCATCTGACACCTTTGGAAACATCTGCCGAATATGCTGGAATGCTGCACTATCTGGGTTTAATGCTTTGACAAATTGTTTGATAAGACCAAGTTTAATGTGAAGGGGTGGTAGTAAGATCTTTTCAACAGGTATCAGAGATTGATTAATAACATTGTGCGAACCAGGCTGTAAATGTTCTCTCACTGGCCACTCACGTCTTGTGAAGTGCTGGTTTGCAGCCCTGCTATCCCATAAACAAAGAAAACACGAGTACTTTGTGTATCCTCCTTGCAGACCGAGAAGAAATGCTAGCATCTTAAAGTCTCCACATACATCCCACTTGTAACTGTCGTAGTTGATTTTCTCAAGCAACAACTTCACGTTCTTATAGTCTTCCTTTAGATGAACGGAATGAGCTACTGGAATCGAAGGAAATCGGTTTCCGTTATGGAGCAAAACTGCCTTTAGACTTCTTGTTGAGCTGTCAATGAATAATCTCCACTCTTCAGGATTGTGAACAATGCTAATGTCATTGAAAAGACCACGAACGTCATGACAATAGCACAGTGATTCTGATACTACATAAAAGTATGCGAATGTTTCATGTCTTTTTCGGTATTTCGAGGTTCTGCAGCTTGGATCTAATAAATTCCATTCTTTCAAACGTGATGTCAGAAGTTCTGCATTTGATTTAGTGAGACCTAAATCTCGTACTAAGTCATCAAGTTCTTGTTGGTTAGGGAAATTAGGTGAATCATTCGGTTCCCATCATTTCCCTAACCAACAAGAACTTGATGAATCATTCGGTTCATCAAGTTCTTGTTGGTTAGGGAAATGAGGTGAATCATTACTTGGATAAACTAGAGTCAGCCTATCTTTCGGTTTTTTTATACTTTGAAATGTCAACAATGCAGAAAAAGCAGTCATCATGATGGTTCGTCGGTTCTCTCCATATTCTCGGAATCGCAAAGGGCATTGACTTTCGGATTCCACGCAGCCATCCTTCCAGAGTTGATCTGCAGCTACCACAACTATAGTGTGGTGCCCACGATTTGTCCTGATCTCCCATAGCCATGCCAAAATAAGCATGATATGCAGTAAAGAATTTTGTACCACTGACAATCTTATGTTTAGCTTGTGTTGGACTAATATAGTAACCACAAACATAACAGAATGAGTCAGGACAAAGCTTGCAGGATCTACTAGACATATTCATTACTTCATGTAACAGTTGTAATTAGTTAAACTGAAAATAAACACACGAATATAGTTAAAATCAGCATATATATATAATGTTTTAATTGCATTACACATATACGAAAACTCCGAAATATACTTTATGCTTTTTCTCAGGAAATCTTGATGATAGAGAAAAACCAATGGTACCACTGAAATCAGCATACAAAAATTATGTAAGAAACATTAAAAAATTAACATAAACAAAAATGTTGTTACATGGTGTAGTTTAAATGAATTAAACTTTTTTTAAATTGTCCTTGCGGATACCAAAAATGTTATATTGCGTCATATTATTATAACAAAATACTTGATTGAAAAGGCAAATACAAAGAAAAAAAAAACTGGAGAAAAAGTGCGCTCTAACGAACAGCGACTTAGTTAAGTTTTACACATGCATGAATTATTCATAGCTTAGAAATTATGCCCTCCCCCCCTCCCCGCCAAAGTTTCATCATGGCCACTAACCTATTTCTGCTCAACAAATAAAAAGAAATAAAAAATCAGAAGCCCCTATTAGCACTCATGCGGCAGGGAACCCGTCTCTGTACTACTGGTATACTCGCATGTTGACAAGATTTGCCCCTAATTACAATAAATTTGACAGATAGACTTTAAATTTGTCAGGGTAAAACTATATCTATAATAAGTTTTGAATTAATTGTTTAAATTTACACTGTAAAGATGAAAATCATTTTTTACTAGTTTTTGTCGAATTTACTGGTTGTTTTTTTTAAAATAACCTGTTCTTATTAAGGAATCAAAGTGTTCCAATTTAGGGAACCAGTTGCCTAGATTGGAACAAAATAACTTTGTAAAAACAAAGTTATTTCCAATATTAATGCAATTAGTTAAGTCAAATTGTGGTTAAAAGTATATGTCTGTATGTAATAATGAAATCATAGTTAAACCATCTTTGGTTCATAAATATTTATTTCTAAATTGTTTCAATTAAGGCAACTCTCCCCTATATAAATATTTATAAGTATATATATATATATATATATATATATATATATATACATATATATATATATATATATATATATATATATATATATATATATATATATATATATATATATATATATGTATATATATATATATATATATATATATATATATATATATATATATATATATATATATATATATATATATATATATATATATATATATATATATATATATAAGTTTTATGAAAACATTAACGAAATGTTTTAAAATGTATTAAACAAGTTTTAAATCCAAAAAAAAAAGAGTTACATTTTATTATAAATGCTGAAGTATAAATAAGTATTAAAGACTTATCCAGAGGGCACGGACATAAAAAAAGACGTCTTTTAAACGTCTTATACACGTTTGGACGTCTTTTGAACGTTTTGAACGTCTTTTGAACGTTTAAAAGATGTATTTTTTTGGCCCGGTGCCCACTTGGTACTTACATTTACTTGAGTATATTTGAAATCTAATATATTCAAGTCAATGATAATTCAATGTTTTGATTCAGCATAAAAACTCTCTAAGCTGCAGTTTAAGACAATGTTTTTTCTTTTTATTTAAAGTATCAAGAAATTTTTTCTAAATAAATGGTCCATGGTATTGAATTTAATAAGGACTTACGGGAAGACAAAGTTATTTTCAGAAAATTTTAAACATGAATAGCATCACTTGGTAAATATATATATTTTTAATATGTTATTTTAGGTACCCCAAGAAGAATTAATGGTCTTGTCATAGAGCACTGCGTAGGTGCATTTAATCATGAAGTTCACGCCTCCTTCCTTACCGCGACGCGAAAATATGTCCAGAGCTCGTTTAGAACCTGGATCGCCTGCTTATTAAGCTAGCGCTTAAACCACTGCGCCACGGCCGCGTAAGATATTTTTTATCAAAAGTATATTGCTTATAATATATTTAGAAAAATGTATTTAGAAAATATATTATAATAATATATTTAGAAAAATATATTATATATTTAGAAATATATTTCCCGCGTAATATATTTAGAAAAATATAATGCTTATAAGCATATTGATTATTTATTTGCGTTCCCTCTAAGCAATATATTAGGAAAGTTTTCTTAAAGTTGAAATTCTATAAATTCGAAATAATTACATGCATAATAGAAATTAAATTTAGATCTATAAAAACCATCTGACACTGTCTACCTAAAGATTCACAATACCCCCGTGCCGTCCTTTGGTATATTTAGTAATCAGTTAATTGATATCTAGTACTGTGCATTAGATATCAATTTAATGTATGTAGTGTACTTGTATCTAAGTTCACTAGATAATAATAAAAATTGAGCAATGACGGGTTTAATTTATTTGTGCATTGACGAATTTTATTTACGATTACAGCAAAAGGTGCACGCGAAAAAAAAAAAGATAAAAAAATTATAATTTGTTATAACTGATAATAAATATTAAAAGCTTCAACAAAAATAGAAATTAACAAAAAGTCAAACAAAAATTAATAAAAATCAAATAATAAAAAAAAACTTGTTTAGCAAACAATTTGAATAAATATTCAAATGACAAATAAGTTAAAAAAAGTAAAAAAAAAAAAAAAAAAAAAAGTTATTTGGAATCTCAATATTCTAATTGCGCCATTAAAACAATTCTGTTTAAAAAGATAATAAAAAAAAGTTAATGTCAAATAAATTAGACCAAGAGAAACAGAGTAAAAGATCGTTAAAATTATACCTTATCTGCCATTTACAACAATGCCCAACTCTAGGCTTGTTGTAACTAGTAATTTTTATCAAGTTTTTATTAGTATTTCAAAAAATCGACTTTAAATAGTTTGAGAGGGAAATACCCTCTCTTTATATTGTTTTGAGAAAGTGCATTTTAATTGTCGAAGAATGTGTTTATAATATTAATAAACAATGTTCATTCATATTTATAAATAAAATAATGGCTATCCAAATTTTGACAGATCGTGAACTGGTTAATTCCCTTTTTGATTGTTCGAAGTCCATTCGTTCGTAAAACAACAAATTTGTATTTTTTATTAAAACAACAACTTCGTATAGGTATAAAAATGAAGATTATCTAAAATGTATTGAATAATTTAAATGCTCAATTATTTTGTTGATAAAAACCATTAAACAAGAATATAAAGAAATAAACTTTATATAATAAGTTAAAAACAAAGTAAAGTCTAAGTAAAAATACCCCCATCCTGAAATAATTTGTAATCAAATTTATTTAAGTGCGATGAAACGTAAGTAATAGGGTGGAATAGGGTGGCGATTTAAAAAGTTTTTTTGAGTCGAAAGTTGATATGGTTTTGAAAAAAAAAAAATTCAAAAATATTAGGACCCATCAAAAATTTAGAATCCAAAGTGGAACCTCAAGGTCTCATCAAAATCAAATGATATTTTTTTACTTTCATCTTATAGTTAATATACATCGATTCATGTGTCAGGAATATTAATTTTTAAACTTTTTTTTTTTTCCTATGAAAATCGCTCTACCCTACTAAGTAACCTTTATTAGTGGCTTGTAAGTGGGTATTATTAAATAGAAGCGACGATAAATATTACAACATCCGTGAGCTATTTTCATGTTTAATTTGATTTTTCGACGTGCAAAACAATGATTTACGACTTAAACAACATTTTTTCACATCGTTATAGATAATCTTATATCTTTTATAGGAATACAAAACGATACAAAAAAGGTACATACAAAAATATGAAAAAGATATTTTTGAAAAATAAAAATAATAACAATATTGTTATTAGTTATTTAGTGTTAAAAAATATTATCTTAAAATATTATTATATTAAATAAATTTAAAGTTGAATTTTAAGTTAATTTAAAGTTGCGTTTTACTAAAAATAAATACAAAATAAGTAGACATAACAAACATTGCTTATGTACGCATGCGCTAACATCAAAGAAACAGTTCAAAAGTTACTTTTTGTGTTGTAAAAGATAAATTATGATTAAAAAAAGGCAACAAAATAATAATAGTTAATTAGTCATGGGCGTGTTTTTAATTTTAAAATATTTAATAATATTGTTACTAATATAACATTATTAGTAAACAGTAAAGTTTGAAATCAAAATCACATGCTATGTTATTTGATTTATATTTCTTTTTTTTTTTTTTTTCAGGCCAGTGAATGCGCTGAAAAATCGCTGGGAACAAATTAAATAAATTAAAAAACCAAAAAGAAAGCACAAATTTAAAAATGATGATAAGGTTCAATGTTTGCTGAGTGAGGCCTGGAACATAAAGGAGCAAGATCAAAAATGTTGTTTGCAGTTTCTTTGGCGACCCTTAAATAAATAAATACTTTAGTTAATTTAAATATGATCCAAACTTAGAAGCATATTCTAAAAAGAAATTTTTTAGAATATGCCTAATATTTAAAATACATTGTGTTTGCTGCAAGAAAGCAGCATAAAAAAGAGCGGGAGAATTATTTTGAAAAGGCCAGCTATGTAAACTTCAACTTCCATTGTTATCAGTTTTTTATTCATACTTGGATTTCAAATAAAAACTTTTTTAGGTGCGGTTCAAAAGAACTTTAAAAAACCAAATAAAGAAACCATCACCAATTTATTACATAGTTCATTACATTATGATGGTGTTCAAAACAAAAATAGAGCAAATAAACTATACATTTTAAGAAAAGTTTTTGAATGTAAACGTCGTATGTAGGCACCTACAGTGGTGTCGCTAAAGGGTACGGGGGATGCGGGCCGCACCGGGTGACACAACTTGATACAGAGGGGTAACGCCAAATAAAAAAAAAAAAATTTTTGTTAGATGAAACAAGTTGTTGTTAGTCGGTAGTCACAATTGAAAATTTTTCATTTTGGTGTCACCCCTAGCTCTGCCTCATACAGTAGAGTTCGCCGAGCTTTTTTCTGAATTTTCATAGTTTTATCAATAATATATACATATTCTAAAATAAAATGGGAGAGGCAGACCGGAAAAAGTTCAACAAAGTTAGTATAGTTTATTCTATAGTATAGTATTTTATTTTATAGTATCCGGACGCGACAAATGGTTTTTTTTAGACAAACGTTGACTTTCGTCTAACGATTTATAGACGAACGTCTAACGATTTATAGACGAACGTCTAACGATTTATAGACGAACGTCTAAAGTTTGTTTTGTAATTAAATAAAAACGGCAAAAAGTAGATTTCTATTAAGTTTTAAATGACTTAAAATAAAAACCAGAAAAGAAACATTTTATTTGGCATAATTAAAATAAAATTAATTAAAATCAAATGTTTATTTAAATTCTGAATTAAATAATCAAAATAACGTTGGATAAACGACAGTGCCGGATTAAGGTTGGGGGGGGCTAGGGGACTATAGCCCTGGGCCCCGCAAATTTAGGGGCCCCCAATTAAAAATTATAGAGGACCTTTTTTTTTTTTTTTAAAGTCATTTTTAAGCTCTGACCCATAAAAAGGCCTCCAAAAATAAAAATAGCCCCGGGCCCCAAGAAGTCTTGTCTTCTACTTGCCCCTGTCAGCTTGTAATTATATATATATTTATTCGAATTTAAAGATAACATTGTAAAATGTGTAAAACGACAAAATAAACTACTAACTACTAAAAAGTCTTAATCCGCCACTGATAAACGATAGTTTTATTTAAATTATGAATAACAAGTTTAAATTCTTAACGAAATAAATGAAATAAAAACGGAAAAAAACCGCGTTTTCTTCACATATAAAATAAAATAAATTTCATAAAAAAAACTAATTTTTTATTTAAATTCTTAACGAAATATAAAAAACGTTTTCAGACTTTAGACGGGAACGGTATGAACGGTATGGTATGGTGAGCGCTCGCACGCTTTGTTTGATCATTAAGAATTAAAAAAAAAAGGTTTTTTAATGAAATTACGAAAATTTTTAATGACATTAGGAAAATATTCAAAGATATTCTTGAAGTAAATATTCTAAGATAAAAACTTATTTTTTGTCAAAAATGTAATTTTATAATAATTATAATATCAATAATAACTTTATAATAATTATAGTAACTTTATAATAATTTACCTTGTATTATTTACAGCGGGTGATTAATAAATAAATATATTAGAAAATCTGTTAATCGTTGATCTTTTTTAAAGTTTTTATACAATGCGAAAACTTTAAAAAAAAATTTAAACACTTGAAAGTATTTTTATTTGTTTTTATTTTAAATCTTTTAAAGGAATATTTTGTTTTTAAAAGATTTTTTTTTAATAAATCAAAATTACGAAAGGAAAAAAGAAGAATTATAACTATAAATAATAAATATTTTAATTATAATTAATGATAATTAATGATTTAGATTGTATAAACTTTTATATATTATTGTATTTTTTGTTCAGATATATATTTTTAAATTACTAATTATCATCATATATTTATAATTTAAGAATATTCTATCATGCTACATGGAGTGCACAAACTAAAAAAGTCTGGTTGCGAGCAGCGAAAAGCAAAAAAGAAAAAATATGAATCATTAAAATTATTACATGAATCCATCCTTAACTATGTCGAGAGACGAAGTGATGGACCGGGTTATTCAAAAGTTGTTGTTCTTCATTATACAATTGGTACTGATACCGATTCCTTCGATGCTAGCGGCATGCATTCTCCAACGGGCAAATAGAGCCGGAAATGGAAGAGATTGATGCAGAAATACATAAAATAACAATGGATCATATGGATGAATTTGAAACAGAAGTGGATGCTGAAAAAGAGTCTCACCATTATACTGTAAATGTGATGACGAGTCATGTTAATGAGAAAAATTGGAATATTTTATCTGATTCTTTTTTCTGGAATGTACCAGTTCCAAATAATTTTCGGGTTGAAATTATCAAAAGAGAAAGTTCATCATTTCAGAACAAGGATGGGCCTTTCAATATTGTGACAAGGCAAGGTGCAAGAACTAAAGGAGGTGTGTGCCAGTTATCAAAAGATTTGTTCTACAAGACGATGCCTAATGGTGAGAAAATATTGCGGTCATGGATGGTTTACTCGCTCGTCAGTGAGAAATTATACTGTTTTTGCTGCAGACTCTTTGCTGTTAATGCAACGAAAACAACATCCAAATTTGTCACTGGGTTTCAGAAGCGGTGGAAGCTGAGCCCAAATTATATAATCATGAGAAATCGGATGACCGTCTATGTTGCTTTGAAAGACGGAAAACATTGGCAGCAGGACTTGAGCTGAACAAAATAATTGATGCAAAAAGTATTGCTTTGACAATAGTGACGCCACTGTATAGTTTTGCCTATTTCTAGATAACTTTTTTTGACTTGAACAAGGAAAGAAAAAAGTGAAGAGATATCTTGTACAGGTTGCTTGATATCACCCTATTTCTTGCAAAGCAAAACCTGGCATTTCGTGAACACCGGGAAAATGAATCATCATTCAATAAAGGAAACTTTCTTGAAATGGTTGAGATGCTTTCTAAATATGACCCTGTGTTAAAAGAGCACCTCATGAGATTAAGGCAAACAACATCCACAGCATCCGTATCTTATCTTTCACCACAAACACAGAATGAATTCATCAATGTCCTGGTAAATCATGCGAAGAAGATTCTTGTTAATGATATAAAGCCAGCGAGGTATTTTGGAATTATGTTTGACAGTACACCTGACATACCACACACTGACCAGATGTCAGAGGTAATCAGGTATGTGAAAATCCACAATGGGGAAGTTGAAGTTAAAGAAATGTTTCTAGGATTTTTCCCTTTTTTTTTTTTTAGGATTTTTTCCCTGGGGAAAAAATCTGAGGACCTGAAATTCT